GCGGGACTCGATCCCAGGACCCTGGGATCATGACCTGAGCCAAAGGCAGACGCCCAACCATCTGAGCCACCCAGGCGCCCAAACAGTTGCCAGTTCTTAAAGTGAGAGTGAGTTTCCCCCGTGTGCAGAGTTTCTGAAGGAAATTTCAAAGAACCTGTTTCATGACTCGTATCTCTTGGCCAGATCCAATATATAAAAAGAGAGTAGGGAAGACTGGAGAAGAAATTTCTTTGAATCCGTCATGTTGTGGACTCCCATTGCCCCCAAATGATTCTACCTCTTTTATCTAAAGCCTGGCAAGAGGGTTTCTAGAAGATCGCCTGGAGAACTTTGATCTGCATTTCCTAAAAGTTGGGAAACAGGGGATCAGTGATGCCCCATGCCTGAGAAAACTAAAGCAAGCTGTGGTAGCCCCACAGAGGGGCCTGTTTTCTCTGAGTTTGTCACCAGGACAAAAGATGTGTGTGACAGTTTGTTAAGAACCAAGCAGGAGGGAGTTGAGTTATCTTGGGCTCTGCCCAAAGCCGCCTGGAGGGACACCAGGAGCAAGAGGCTGGAAGGGAATGCCAGATTCTTAGGGGCTGATGAAGAAGTATCAAGTGACCATCAGAAGAGAGATGCATCAGCCTCGGTCAAGGGCAACTATAGGACACAGGTCCCTTGCCATGGCAAGCTCCGCAGAGAGAGAATCAGCTTAGCTACTTTCCAAGCTACTTTCCAAGCCCAGAGACTCTGAAGCCACCAAGCCAAGTAAAAATGTCCTATCCCCTTACTTCTTCTCCCTCCTCCTGCAAATGGAGAAGGTGGAGAACCAAGAGAGAGTGGAAATTGACTTCCAGTGGCAGGTGGTGTCCACCAACTACAAGGCTTAGCTTAGAGAAGGGGATGAGAAATCCTACTTTTGAATGATGATTAAAGGATTAATATTTAAGACTGGACATTCTGCTTATCAAATTGAGACTGTATGCATGTTTCACAGTGAGGACTGACCTTATCTTAGAGTAAGCATAAAACCTCACTGGGCCTGTTTCATATTCAGCCAATGGCAAAGGAAAAGCTCCCCTGAGTGAAGAAAGTCTAAAGTAGAAACAGGAGGCAGACATTAAAGTTGCATATTGACTATGTCGTGAGTCATGAATGTTCAGCATACCATTTGCAATACAACTATGTTTTGAAAATTAAACCCCCTTAGCAGATTTATACTAGTATTTGCAAAGTGATAGATTAACTATGAGGGGTTTTATTCCGATTATGAAAGAATATGATCTGATGGCTGGCATATTACAGATGCTCAGTAATTGCTGATTTAAACTAATTATGAATCTTCTCTGAGTTGCTGACAGAAACTGTGGAATATTTTTTCCCAGAATCATTTTAAAATAAGAAAATCAGCATATAAATTCACACATTTCACTAGTCCGGATAGTTGTTTATTAATACCTAGCCAATTATACAATGGATTTGAGGCCCTTTTGTATAGATTTAGACTGGCTTTGAAGCCCGGGGGTGAGCTGGAGCTGAAGATCTCACAAGGCCCTTTCCAGCTGATCAAGGCTGTTTCTTAGAAAACCAGAGACTTACAGGAGCCTTCAGCCACCATCCTCGAAGCTTCCCATGGGCCTCAGTTAATTCAACAATGGGAATGTGCCTTAGACTACCCCTGCACCATCTCAGAATTATGATGCTCCTGGTGCCAGTTGTCTTCAGGAGTGGAAGACTGGGGAAAAAGGAGATAGAAGCGAGCATAGCACGTGAATAGTTTCAGATTTTTTTTGTCTCTAGGTCTTTATCACTTTCAAGGAGCCAGAATCTTATCCTAAAGAAATTCATGAGAATGTTAAAACACAGCAAGACTGTGGCTCAATATGTTTATTCAATTGCAATGAGACTGATCCATATATTACACACACTGAAAAGCTTGATCTTTTAGGGTCTCATAGTTCTATCCTAAGTGGCAATTTCTCCTTGCAACTGAGGGCAAGAATTTATTAAATAATGGTGTCCTTGTTTACTAGGTTCACTGTTTTAGCCCTCCTAGCCACCACCGCCACCACCCTGGTTTTTCACCTCATTCTTTCTCTCTCCTACAGGCCCAGAAGATTAGAAAATCATCCAAAGTCCTTGACCATGGTAGGTCATATTGATGATCACTATAAAGAATGTTATATCTCCATGTAATTCCACAGTAGCACAAGATTAAATTTCAGGAATGTTCAGCTTAGCTTTCCTTTCTGTCCTCAGATGAGGCCTCTTCGGCCTCTGATCATCGTACGTCCTGTAACTGGGAAGCCCTCCCTCTGAAATTTCCCTTCTATCAGTGTCTTCACTTCATCTCTGCAGCTACTGCTTCATGTCAGGTCCTCATTATTTCTTATCTGGCCTATGACAGTCATCTACTTGGTGTTTCTGCCTCTAGTTTAGTGCCCCTTCCTTCCCTCCTCCACCAAGTAGACCATGATCTTTCAGAAGCAAATAGGATGATGCCCCTTCTCTACATAAAACCCTTCAGTGGTTCCCCACTGCGTTCTGGATCAGATGGAGCTCCCTAACACAGCATATAAGGTCCTCTATGAGCTGGCCCTCACCTTCCTCCCCAGTCTTCTCATTCACTGCTTCCTTCTCGCCATCATACACCCAACCATATCTAACCACTTGCCACTGTCCAAACATGCTATGTTATTTTTGTGCCTTCCTGTTATTGCCCATACAGCTTCCCCTGCCAGGAATGCTCTCTCTCAATTCCTTGTGTCCCCTTATTTTAGTTCCCACCTCACAAACTTACCTGCCAGCTCAAGCTCCAGCTTGACTAGAACCCTTTTAGCGCAGGGCTTGTCTCATATTCATTATGGTGTGCCCAAGCACCTATCCCATAATAGGTACGAAATAGGAGGCAGTGTTAGACAGACTCAGGACCCAGGACCAATGCTACCCATGCTGGATTAATTCTTAATAGAAGATACAGCCACAGGGGCGCCTGGGTGGCTCAGTCGGTTGAGCGACTGCCTTCGGCTCAGGTCATGATCCCGGAGTCCTGGGATCGAGCCCCACATCGGGCTCCCGGCTCGGCGGGGAGCCTGTTTCTCCCTCTGACCTTCCCCCCTCTCATGCTGTTTCTCTCTCGCTCGCTCTCTAATAAATAAATAAATAAAATCTTTTTTTTTTATTTGAGAGAGAGAGAATGAGAGACAGAGAGCATGAGAGGGAGGAGGGTCAGAGGGAGAAGCAGACTCCCCGCCGAGCAGGGAGCCCGATTCGGGACTCGATCCCGGGACTCCAGGATCATGACCTGAGCCGAAGGCAGTCGCTCAACCGACTGAGCCACCCAGGCGCCCCAATAAATAAAATCTTTAAAAAAAAAAAAAATAGAAGATACAGCCACTGTTGCCCTTGTCCCACCCTGGGCCAAGGGTATGTATTCATGAAAACCCATGGCTTATATGTGGCATAGCCTTGTGGAAGAGGGGTACAATCAAAGGGCATGTCTCTATATGCCACACTGAGCCCCAGCTGTTCTAATAGTCGAGTTATGAGAATACCTTAATACTAATACTACCAATTCTTAGTTATACTCTGCTGATAAGTCACTTCATGAATCACTTAGATTCTTGCTTCTGTTCCTTTTTCTTCATTCTGCCAGCTGGCAACCAAACCAAGGAAGATGAAACTCAACCATCCTTGTTCCTTGTCACGTTCCTTAATGGGGAAAAGGTTAAAACAAACAAAAATATTTATTAAAATATAGTATTGGTATTATCTGAGAAGTTCATCTATCTATAGGTTGTACCCCTTTTCCATGTGTATTTAAGAATTAGCTGTTTATGGAATAAGAACTGCATATGTAAGCAAGAATTCCATATGGAATCAAGAATCAGCTGTTCTGTCACTGAATGCCTGTGTTTCCTAAAAATTAAAGATACATTTTTTTCCTTTCATTTTTAGATGCCAGATGTTTTAGAAGGAAATAGAAATTATTTAAATTAAACAGGACTGAAGATTAAACATTAATCATTTTTGTCAACCAATCCAGGAGCAGAGTCATTATTACTAAGTATAGAACCCAGGTCAATCATACAAATGATACATTAAAATCTATATAAATGATGAAATTTTACGTTCCAAAAAATGTGATTACTTTTCTTCTAATTTACTCCCGTGAACAATGAAACATAGTCTACTTTAGCATAAACAGGGGAATACAGTGGCTTCTTTTCCAAATGTGTATT